GCTCTGTGCTGACAGCGCGGAGCCCGCTGGAGATTTTCTCTCCCTCTCTCCCCCTCCCCCACTCAACATGCGCACGCTTGCTCACTCTCTCTCTCAAAAAAAAATAAAACAAAACAGGGATCTTGAACCTTAAGTACACTGTGCACAGTGACAGAGGCCAGACACAGAAGGACACGTCCTGCATGACCCCACTCACAGGGGTTCCCTAGAGGAGTCCCGTCCACAGAGTCAGAGAGTGGATGGTGGGAGTCGGGGGTGGGGAGTCAGTGCTTCATGGGGATAGAGTCTCAGTTTGGGGAGATGGAAAGTTCTGGAAAACGTGGGGGGATTTGCAAAACAGTGTGAGTGTGTTTAATGTCCCTGAGCTGTACATTTTATTTTTTTTTAAGTTTACTTATTTATTTTGAGAGACAGAAACAGCACGGGTAGGGGAGGGGCAGAGAGAGTGGGAGAGAGAATCCCAAGCAGGCTCCGTGCCACCAGTGCAGAGCCCGACATGGGCCTCAAACCCACAAAACTGCGAGATCATGACCTGAGCCAAAACCAAGAGTCGGACGCTTAACCGACTGAGCCACCCGGGTGCCCCAGAGCTGTGCATTTTAGAATGGCTGATTTTTTAATGTGAACCTTACCTCAATAAAAAAATAAAAAAAATCGGGGCGCCTGGGTGGCTCCATCAGTTAAGTGTCTGATTTCGGCTGTCATGATCTCACAGTTCACGAGTTCGAGCCCCACACTGGGCTCTATGCTAACAGCTCAGAGCCTGGAGCTGCTTCAGATTCTGTGTCTCTCTCTCTCTTTCTCTCTCTCTGCCCCTCCTCTGCTTGTGCTCTCCCTCTCTCTCAAAAATAAATAAACATTTAAAAGAAAAAAATAAATTAAAGACAAATAAACACATGCACACACACACATACACGCAAACAACCAGAATTCAGTTTCAGGGGTCCACGCATTCTCTGACATCCACCCAAAGAAGCCAACGTAAGAATCTTTAAGATTCTTTAAGCTTTAGAAGTAGATTTCAGCCAGGGAAAACCCAGGCCTCCCCAGCCAGCCAGTGCTGAGTTCAATGGCACTTTGCCTCTGTTTTGTCACATCGGAGATGCGGTGGTTCTTCTAACCACTGTCACCGGAGCATCTCCCCCGCTCCGTGCCCTGTCCAGGGCACGATGGGCTGGACTGTGTCCCCCTAAAATTCACCTGTTGAAGCCCTGACCCTCAGGACCTTAGAGCGGGACTGTGTTTGTGAAGACCGGGTCTTCAAGGATATAATTAAGTTAAAATGATGTCACTGGAGTGGCCCTAATCCAGTGGGACCTGTGTCCTTACAAGAAGAGATCAGGACACGGCCACAGAGGGACGACCACGTGAGGACACGGGATGGGGGCACGGCATGTGCACGCCAGGGA